CCAGACTTGAATGCAAGCACATCAGTAGTTTCACCACAGCTGGAGGGTCAGAGTTTGCCCGACCCTGGTGTACAGTCTGGAGTGATCACAGCAGGATAGGAGACTGAGGAAATGCTTCCTCCTGCCGGCAGCAGGCCAGTACCATCATCACAGGGTAGGCAAAGTCACCTGACTTGAATGCAAGCACATCAGTAGTTTCACCACAGCTGGAGGGTCAGAGTTTCCCGACCCTGGTGTACCGTCTGAAGTGATCACAGAGGGAGAGGAGACTGAGGGAAATCTGTGATGATGGCCAGTGCCATCATCACAGGATAGGCAAAGTCACCTGACTTGAACACAAGCACACTTCAATAGAGTTTTTTCTTAAACCTGATGCAGTCATTTTGTATCACGGCACATCAGGAATTTGTTCACAAAGACTTTTACCGAAATGACTGAAAGGGCCACTTTCATATTATTGGTCAGATCTGAAACCAAGCCTTTGCATTGGCATCACTCATTGTAATTTGCATGGAACAAGAATTACTCTGGTTCTGTTATACACCGATCGCAGAGCGTTCCACCAGACCAACGCTCATGCGCAACATACGACGACAGCAATGGCTCATGTGTGTAAGATAGCTTAATATACATCCTGCCAAGAACTGATCACGGTTAAGTGGCTGCGTCCTGTTTTTCACATTAACAAGCTGTGTTCGGCAGCCCTGAGGTCGGTTCTCATTGTAAAACGCGATGTACCATTTACTTATCATAAAACATTGGCCTGTACAACAATGAGTATATGGCTTGTCATGTGTCAGACAGGAGCCATGATGGGAAGGATCTGTATGGTTATTATAAACCGCCGGGATGGGACCTAAAGTGGGGAATTTATTGTATAAACCGAAAAGCTATTTACGGACATTTTAATGGTTTGTTTTATTTTATTGCGGCCCGTGATGTGATGAAGTTGGGATTTATTCCTTTCCTTCCTTGTTTCTACACTACATAGTCATACTGACTAAGTCTGAATCACGCCGCTGTGATTATCTCTCATGTGATGCCTCATTTAAAGTGGACCTGACAGGTAAATGGCATCCATGAGCTTGCTAAACATTTGGGCACAGACACCAGACTGGAACATTTGGGCAACACAGTCCCTTAGTGGTTAACACTTCTGCCTTGCAGCACTGGGGGTCCCCGGTTCGAATCCCAATTAGAACACTATCTGCAAAGAATTTGAATGTTCTTCCTGTGCTTGAGTGGGTTTCCTCCAGGTACTCCGGTTTCCTCCCACACTCCAAAGACTTGGTTAATTGGCTCCTGTCTAAATTGGCCCTGTATGCGTGTGCTATAGGGACCTTAGTATGAAAGCTTCCTGAGGGCAGGGACTGATTGTGCAAAGCTCTGTGTAAATTGTCGGCGCTATATAAATACCAGTAATAAATAATTAGCTTAGCACTGGCTGAAATCTTCAAATCAATTTCTGGATGACCGATGCAAATAATTTTTCAAGTAGGCTTAGTGTGCAGGTTTTAAAGCAAGGGTAGGCAACCTCAGCAAACTACAAATGCCATCATGCATCTGCCACTGGGAGTCATGCCTGTGGCCATCAGAGTCTTGCAATACTTCATGGGACTTGTAGTTTCACCACGGCTGGAGGGCCATGATTGTCTACCCCCGATCTAAAAGGTTGTGATTGGTTTGTGGGAAAGTTTTGAGTCAGATAAGAAATCGAGACCTATCTGCACCATGCAGGCAGGGTTATCCACCTTCATTGGAATTTCTATCTAGTGGCGGTAATGCCAAGTGAACAGCATTCACCCTGATATTCACTGAGTAGAACATTTATAGATCAGCCCCTTAGAATCCCTAAAACCCTAAAGCCAAGAATCCCTGATTGAGGGCCCATTCATACTATGCATTGCATTAAAGTTCCATTAACACAGTGCAATAATCTCCTGACGGTGCACAAGAATGTTTGGCATGTGTGTTGCGGTATTATGCATTATAGGCGTAATGCCTGCCACTCTATTAATGCCAGCACAGGCCAGCCGACATGGGAGCGGCCCATCAGACAAGGGCTGAGCGGCCCATCAGACAAGGGCTGAGAGGCCCATCAGACAAGGGCTGAGAGGCCCATCAGACAAGGGCTGAGCGGCCCTCAAGAGCGCGGCCCACCAGACAACAAGAGCGCGGCCCACCAGACAACAAGAGCGCGGCCCACCAGACAACAAGAGCGCGGCCCACCAGACAACAAGAGCGCGGCCCACCAGACAACAAGAGCGCGGCCCACCAGACAACAAGAGCGCGGCCCACCAGACAACAAGAGCGCGGCCCACCAGACAACAAGAGCGCGGCCCACCAGACAACAAGAGCGCGGCCCACCAGACAACAAGAGCGCGGCCCACCAGACAACAAGAGCGCGGCCCACCAGACAACAAGAGCGCGGCCCACCAGACAACAAGAGCGCGGCCCACCAGACAACAAGAGCGCGGCCCACCAGACAACAAGAGCGCGGCCCACCAGACAACAAGAGCGCGGCCCACCAGACAACAAGAGCGCGGCCCACCAGACAACAAGAGCGCGGCCCACCAGACAACAAGAGCGCGGCCCACCAGACAACAAGAGCGCGGCCCACCAGACAACAAGAGCGCGGCCCACCAGACAACAAGAGCGCGGCCCACCAGACAACAAGAGCGCGGCCCACCAGACAACAAGAGCGCGGCCCACCAGACAACAAGAGCGCGGCCCACCAGACAACAAGAGCGCGGCCCACCAGACAACAAGAGCGCGGCCCACCAGACAACAAGAGCGCGGCCCACCAGACAACAAGAGCGCGGCCCACCAGACAACAAGAGCGCGGCCCACCAGACAACAAGAGCGCGGCCCACCAGACAACAAGAGCGCGGCCCACCAGACAACAAGAGCGCGGCCCACCAGACAACAAGAGCGCGGCCCACCAGACAACAAGAGCGCGGCCCACCAGACAACAAGAGCGCGGCCCACCAGACAACAAGAGCGCGGCCCACCAGACAACAAGAGCGCGGCCCACCAGACAACAAGAGCGCGGCCCACCAGACAACAAGAGCGCGGCCCACCAGACAACAAGAGCGCGGCCCACCAGACAACAAGAGCGCGGCCCACCAGACAACAAGAGCGCGGCCCACCAGACAACAAGAGCGCGGCCCACCAGACAACAAGAGCGCGGCCCACCAGACAACAAGAGCGCGGCCCACCAGACAACAAGAGCGCGGCCCACCAGACAACAAGAGCGCGGCCCACCAGACAACAAGAGCGCGGCCCACCAGACAACAAGAGCGCGGCCCACCAGACAACAAGAGCGCGGCCCACCAGACAACAAGAGCGCGGCCCACCAGACAACAAGAGCGCGGCCCACCAGACAACAAGAGCGCGGCCCACCAGACAACAAGAGCGCGGCCCACCAGACAACAAGAGCGCGGCCCACCAGACAACAAGAGCGCGGCCCACCAGACAACAAGAGCGCGGCCCACCAGACAACAAGAGCGCGGCCCACCAGACAACAAGAGCGCGGCCCACCAGACAACAAGAGCGCGGCCCACCAGACAACAAGAGCGCGGCCCACCAGACAACAAGAGCGCGGCCCACCAGACAACAAGAGCGCGGCCCACCAGACAACAAGAGCGCGGCCCATCAGACAACAAGAGCGCGGCCCATCAGACAAGAGCGCGGCCCATCAGACAACAAGAGCGCGGCCCATCAGACAAGAGCGCGGCCCATCAGACAAGATATATTTTGTTTTGGGACTTCGGTGGCGGAGATGCTCAATTTCTCTATAAACAAATCCGGCAGATGGTTAACATCACAAACAACATTCTCAACTCAGGATAAAAATGTTCAGAATGAGAAGTTAAACCCCCCTTAGTGCACTGCTGGACTGTGCTCAGTAAATAACCATAAATCTTATGATAATTGTAAGCAAGATTAAACGCTGGAACGCATGGACGCGGCACATTCAGAAAATGTAGGGTCGTGTTTATGGACGCGAGAGAACACGAGCCGTAGCTAAGCTTGTGTTTCGCCGGTAATTATTGCAGTCAATCCTGTGAGGACAAACAGGCTTTGCTCAGCGTTATATAAATCCTAAAACACAAGAAAAGAAATATAAAGAAGAAATATATGTGAGAATGAACTGCGCCATCCACTAAAGATGGGCGCACCAAACCATGGACTTCTGGTGCCCAACATGAGACCTGCTGGTACTTGTTGTGCAGCCCTCAGACTCCCAAAGACAATAGTGGGAACTATAGTTTGTAAAGGAGTTGCAACGACAGCGATCTCTAGCAACATGTCTCCACTATGTCTTGTAGCCTGCTAGTACTTCATGTCCAACACTCAAACTTTCAACAGCCAGTAGTGAGAACATTAGTGTGCAATGTAATGCATCATGTCTGCAATCCCTCTCTGAACATGTCTCTGAAGATGTCCTTAGTCACTAATCACTCCTGTAGCATGTCTGCAGTCTCTGACCATCTGTTGACAGTCTTCGGTAGCATTACATATACTGAATATTATGTGCGGTCCTTGATGATGTCAGGAGTCACAATGAGGCCTTCTATATCTCAACAATTGTGCACCACTGATATAGGCAATACATTAGGTCCTCAATTAGACTGCACTATCCCTCTTCCCATAGCACTGTATAGGAAGAGGCTAGATCTGCTAGAGGAGTGATCTCCCTCTCTCTATATACTTTTTGTTCCTTCCATTTATCTTTCACAATGTGCCCTGTTTCTTCCTACATCCCACAGAATCATTACCCCACTTATCCCACCATTGTCACCATTGGGCAGAGCCATTGCTCTAAACAAGGCGGTCTATTGTTTGATTTGTGCCTGGTCTCCAACTGATGTTGCCACGGTCTACCTAATGGATAAACTGGATGTTAGTTCAATGCTTGAAATGGCTGCTTCCCCTGTGTAAGGTGACAGGTACACTTTACCTGGCCACACAAACGTTGACATGTGAACATAAGATACCTGGAGTGTGCAGTTCATCATTCTGATGACGTAATCGAACTGCTGGTGGTTGAGGATGGCGCGGTTCTGCTGAACGTGGTGACCGAGTTCCTCCGCCAGGCACTGCCTGGCCGCTTTTCCCTTCAGTGCGCGGAGGGCGGCAGGCAGAGTCTGCAAATGGGGGGAGAGACAGAGAGAGGAAAGGAAGAGGGGGAGAGAGACAGAAAGAGACAGAGAAAGAGAAAGGAGAGGGAAGAGGGGGAGAGAGACAGAGAGGGGAGAGGAAAGAAGAGGAAAGGGAAGAGGGGGAGAGAGACAGAGAGGGGAGAGGAAAGAAGAGGAAAGGGAAGAGGGGGAGAGAGAAAGAGAGAGGAGAGGAAAGAAGAGGAAAGGGAAGAGAAGGGAAAGGAAAAGAAAGGATAGGAAATACAAAGAAAAGAATGAAAAGGAGGGGAAAGGAAAGAAAGGAAAAAGAAAAGGAAGGGAAAGGAAAAATAGGAAATCGGAAAAGGAAAACAGAAAAAGAAAAAAGGTAAGGAAAAGGGGAAAGAAAAGAAAAAGCAAAGGAAACAAAAGAGAAGGGAAGGAAGGAAAAAACAAAAGAAAAGGGAAAACGGAAGGAAAGGAATAGAAAAGAGGAAAGGAAGAGAAGGAAAAAAAGGGAAGGGAAAGGATAGGAAATAAAAGAAAAGGAAAGAAAGGGAAAGGAAAAGGGAAGAAAAAGGAAAAGAAAGTGGAGGGTAGGATAGAAGGACAGAGAATGGAGAGAGGTAGGAAGTGAGAGAAGAAGCAATAGAGAATCATTACAAATGTAATTAAACACAAACATTTACAATACTTGCACACACTTTGTTAATGAGACACAATTGTACATGACATATAAATGCACTTAGAAAAATATATCCACTTAGAAGGTAATGTACAAAACGTTCCTGCCAAATATTCAGCCTGTGTTAGTTTGATAAATGACCACCATAGTGCACTCTGGGCCAGGACAGGGGCCTGAACTAATGTAAAAGCTGTAAAAGCTGAAGTCAAAGATAAACACCCTTTTAGTGAAGTTTACCAAAAATCAAGTTTTTAAATGCAGTACAAGTACCTAACATCTACACAAGCTTTCTGTAATGCGCTGTACACTAGGATGGAGGACGGAGAGAGGGCATTCCAGTACAGTGAGCGCAGTTTTGCATAGTGCTGTCAATCTACCACAGGCAGCTCTTTTACAGGAGAGAAGACCGATGACCACATTGTGTGGATGCTCCTTCATTGTTTAAATGGCCGGCTGGGGCAGATCTTCAGTAACCCGTATTTCCTAGCGTCACCCACCAAATGGGGAAGCACGGATACCAGGAAAAAAAAAGTGCCCTTGAAGGTTGATAAGTATGAAGCAAAAGTATGTTTTTTGCACTTATTATGGTTCTGTATATTTTAAAGGGAGCAAATAAAAGAAAATGTGTTACTCGGGTTTCCGTACACGTTAACACTGGTAGTAGGAGGAGGAGAAGCCCTTTGAGCAAATCAGATTTCTATTGCTTTTCCTCAGCGCTATCAGAGTGAATGTCAGAGTGATGACTCGGAGTGCAGCTCCTCCTTCACTGTCAAACCAGCATGCTGGGAATTGTAGTCCCTCGGACGCTGCATGTCCCCCAGTTACCGAACTTAGAGCCAGACAATACAAAGACATCGCTAAGCAACACAAAAAGCGTCCAAATACTAGATTTGTTATTGGCGCCGGTATCTACTGCGAGAGGTGACAGATGAGGTGGGAGGGACACTTGGCAGAATCTCAGAAAAAAACGGCACATTCCGGGGATGGTGCCGTACGATCTTCGATGACATGCCGCTACTGCACCGCATCAATCACACCGTCTGCACTGTGTGTGGTTTGCTTTTTGCAGGTCACAGATGGCCGAGTACCTATAAGCTGAATTCACACAGCAGCTGTAGGGAGAAGCTCAACACGGACCACAGAAGGGAACGGCATTATGTATAACCAAAGTGGACCTATAGACAGCATCATATCCTATATAGAAACTATACCTGTTGCTGGGTAACAAGCTGAATACAAAGTAAAAACCATACATGCAAAGCATTCCTAATTCTGCTCAGGTAATCTTGTTACCCAGACACCCCTTCACAGCAAAGGCCTAATCTGGGATTAACCCTAGCCTGTGATTGGACAATGAAGGAGCAGTGTTCCTGTCAGGAAGCTTCCAGTGTCTGACAGACAACACTTTGAAAAACTGAATTCAAAGTCTTCCCTGCTCTGGTTCATACCGCTTTAAATGATTTACAACCCACATGATCAGATTTTGCCTCTTGTGTATTATTGAGGTATAATAGTGGCATAGTTATTGACCCGCTTGCCTTGCAGACCTGAGTCCCTTGGACTCAATGCCCTCTGGGGTCTTAATTTTGATGTGTATGTGGGATTTCACCTTTGAGGCTCCACTTTACTTTCACTGTCCAAAACATTATGATAACTGGCTTCTGCCTAGATCGGCCCCATTCTGTGTGTTTCGGGTACATGCAGGCTCCTCTGGGGCGGGACTTGATATGAACGGTTCTCTGCGCTGATGTTCTATGAATTAGGAAAACAAATATAGCTTCCCCGAGAGTCTTTGGGTCAGAATAGATGAAATAATAATATATGATAGATTTAAATAATGTTATCCATGAAAAA